ATTTAACGTGTTTGAAAGATTTGTTCATCCGGATATTCGATGTAATATTGTGTTGTTTTGTACTAGATATTAAAGTGATATAATATAATTTTATCTAGTAGTGTTTAGAAATAATCAAATTTTCAAACACGGATAGAATTCGATTTAATATTTAAAATTTAAAATGTATTCATATTCTTTAGTATCTTTGTTTATAATATCTTAGTTCTGTAATAGTGAATATTTATATTTAAATTCAGTTCTTTCTTTGATGTTTGTCTCAGATCTCAGTGGCACATTTTTCCACAAATTTAATGTTTTTTTTATTAATAATTGTATTTAACAATATATAAAATATTAAAATATCACTTGTTTTCATCTAAATAATATTATTTATGAAATTATAGGTATACTCTATTTCACGAGAGAACGGTACCGTTTCGCGCATGTAAAATGATTCGATTGGTGCGTGAACGACCACGTGATCACGCTTACCACTGATAGTTGGTGGGGGATGCGCGGCGGCGGACCCGTTTTGGTCGGCCGCCGCTACCTTTCTCTCGTGAAAAAGAGTATAGTTAAGTATTGAGTAGTCTTTCGTGTTTATTATTCATTTATACCAAGAATTATATTAACATAATTTTATTAACTCGTTTAAATGCATAGATGTATGAGTATATGTCGAATACTACTGCTAATAATAATAATATTCTGCTCACTTTATGTAGGTTCATAACATCCGGTTATGATATTCATTCTTAACTAATGTTTTTATATGATGTAAATATAAAATAACATATGTAAATCATTTATATATTGGTATTTAAAATGCACAAAACTTATATAAATACTGATAATTTAACTTCTGTGCAAGAATACGTATATACCTATACTTGAAGATTTCGTATAAAATTACATTACTTACGCCTGTGCATGTATAGTATTATGCATATGAGTTCAGAGTTCTATTAGGTAAATAGTTTCAAGATTTATCTTGTGATTATTTCTGAATATTAGAGAATACACGTGAAAACATCATAAAACAAACATAATATCATGTATATTATTAGGTAGGTAGTCCATATCATATTTTGTAATGATGTTATTTTTATTATTATTTTTTTGTAGTTAATATTTCAGGTCAATACACTAAAAGTATGATCAGTAGAAAGGTAAGATATGATCCATACATATTTTACATCAACAGTACAATCCAATCAACAATTTTTATCATAAAACTGTTTTGTGATGGTAGAAAGAATCCTGAATAATATGCTACGTACACTGCTGCATAGGCGGCATTTGGGGTGAGGGGTAACAAGGTGGCAGTTTCCCCCCTCCAGAAAAAATATTGAGAGGGCAAACTTATCATTTTAAATGGGTCAGCAAATTGTGATTAATTTTTGCCCCCCCACAACTAGAGCCAAGTTCCGCTTGTGCACTGCTGTAATTTTATACTTAAAGTTAGGTATAAACCATCGTTTATGGTCTCTCCTATACAAAGTTACAACAACACATTTTCACGGGACAAATGTATTCAACCTTTTGCATTTAAAATAGGTACTTATCTATATTAAAACAGCATCACTCACTGTTTTACTCACTAGTGTATCGCATATGCTTTGAACATGGTATTTAAAAAATTTAATATAATATCTATTTCTGTAAATATATTGATGGTATAGTTAAAAAATTATATTGACTGCGATCAGTGGTGTATACAAAAATGTACAATTGTGAGTGGAGGATGGATAAACCTACCCCACAACTACGCCACTGACTGCAATATACACGCATATGCAGATAAAGTTGTCAATCGTCTCGTGTGAAAAATTAAGTGTTCCTAATTTTGACCACAGTGATAACTGATTACCTATATAATTGCCTCTGTAGTGTTCGACGTTTTTTCGATAAAAATAACTGGCAACTGTGTGGAGTCCTCCTTATATTATGTAATTTATCACGCTGCAAGATTTTATTTTTTTGAATTGAGTTCAAGTAAACCGGTAAAAAAAATTATACATTTTAATAATTTCCCATTTTATATGTATACTGTTAATCACTAATAATTTTAAAAAAAAATACCAATTAGAAAAAAGTTATCGACGGAGACAAACACGGTGCACCTCTAATACTTAACACTTTGTATATTAATATAAAATTATACGCACTGGTTCGCGTATAATACCGCTTGTACGAAATTCCACTCGTCTATCGTCACGTGCGCAGGTCACCACCACTCACAACCAGAATCATCCTAATTGCATGTACCCATATTACCATTTATAATATGTTATATTATTTATACATCTATACCATGCATGATCTCGACCACACTGATTATAATATAGATTGACGTCACGAACCGTCCGCCATTTTCTATGTATTCTATTCTATTGTATTGCACTACCATTTATATGTACCTAAACGACGGTGGTTTTACACACTGATGTAGTGTATATAATAATAATAACATAATGTAGGTAGGTATAATGACAGCGTTTTTGAATAATATTATAATTTTTTTTCCCCCGTCGTCGCGCCAACACAATGGCGGCGGCGGATCGAGCGTGTCCAAATGCGACGTGTCATTGTTTCGGCGGCGTGAGGGGGCTGAACGGAAGGGGGGACATGAAAACGGAGGTGATCGTTCCGAGTGTGTTATTTGTCGGCTTTTTAATACTGTCGTGCAGGCCATATTGTGTGCACACCGTGTCTCCCCTACCCACCCTCTCGAGATCATCAGCCCCGCGTGACCCTTGGCGTCACAGCAACACTGTGTCCTCAACGAAAATCACGGACGCCGATTATGTTTTATGTATCATATAGGCGTATTATATAGGCATATCATACAGCTGGTATAAGTTATACCGATACAGGTGTGTGTATATATGTGACGAAGTGTTAACACTGAGGCATTTATTTAAATTTTTTTGTAAATCGTAAACTATACATGGTTTATTATTTTGGGTAAATATTATATGCGTTATGCAAGGAGAACGGTTGAATACTACAACAATGCCCGTAAGTACCTACGTATTGTATCGCAGGTATTTATAATATAATACATATTATACATAGACTCGTTTGTGGATCCTATGTACAGTAATATTATACACGGGTTGACGGGCATTTCCTCGCACATTTATCTCTTCACTTAACGCACTATTTGGGAGAATAACGTAATAATATACGATATCGCGTCTATTTTATAAATTTTAATAATATATGTTACAGCAGTACATACAGCATCGTGCAAGCTCATCTGTAGAAACTGTATAAGCCCAATAGATTGGTAGTGATAAGTTTAGTGATCGAGACGATTGCACTTAATATCGTCCAAATTTAAACGGATTAAAAATTGAAACGTCTGTGCATAACTATAATATTATCAAAGTAGGAGTATTGCCCAGTGGGTGCTATTAGTGGTGGTTGTGGTTATCTTTAATTGATTGATTTCGACACAATATTTTTATAGGTATTAAACTCTTCTCATGAGTAAATACTAGATACTATTAAAGTACTTTATATTTTAATAGGTAGACAGGTAATATCATAAAGGTATTTGTAATGAGGGTTATCCAGAAAGATATTATTTGCAGACTTTTTGAATTAATCAGTTGAAGTATTGTTGTAAGTATTACAAATAATTATTTATATTACACTAATTTATTGTGATAATGCTTAGGAGGATACAATATATGGATAGTGGATTTAATGTCTCTGTCTCACAAACCTAAAACATAGTCAATTTTCGTCCAGCAGAACCAATTTAATGCAGTTGTTATAATATTGCTTTAATATTTGAATTTAATTAAACTTATTAGATGTTTTAGAATATCTGCATACGAATTGCTCCCCTTGGCGACAATTGCTTCCAAATTGAGTCCCGGGTTTTTTTTTTGGGGGGGGGGCATACATTCATAATAGTTGAGTTCCAAATTTCTTTTATTTACGTCCCAAAAATATTATAAAAATGTTTGGTAATTGGTAAGTATTTGGTAACCTTACCTAAGATAACTGCCGGTGGCTCAGTGATCAGTATTGATCCATGAACTTGGAAATTCTTGTTCTAAATATAGAGTATAAAAGTGGGTCGAAGCTTAACTGTTCGAAGATCGAAAAATCAAAAGATAAATTAGGTTTTCGGATCCAGTTTGAGAGTCGTAACTATTTTTAAAAACCTAACCAAACCGGACTTGAACTAAAAGTTTGAAATTCTATATTTAGAAGTTTGGTTTGAGTATTGGGTACAAGACCATATTTTTGAGTTATTTAATTTTTTTATATTATCTCATATTTTGAAGTAAATATAATATACTTATTCTTATATATTTTGATCAATAAGCACATATATTATATTATTAAATATTTCGTATTGTTTACATTTATATAGACATAATATATTATCATATTATTGACAGTTATCATTATTCCGTGGGAAATAAGTTCAAACAGTCGTAAATCGTAATAGAAAACGACAAAACGTCGAAGTGAAGACGATAAGATAGATAAGGATTTTTGATATCCCCATATCGGAATACAATCTTGTTCTCTAGTGAGTTAGACCCATAGTTGTTGTTAGCGTTCGTTCGTTTGTTTTTCTCTCCAGTCATCCAGACATTCAGTACATTTATATATATGATATATAATTATATATATAACAGTTACAATTTTAAAAAGTGATCTAAGTAGGTAACCACTTTTCTGTACAGTTGCAGGAGTCAAGTGTACCTGATAATTGAGTGGGTTAGTGTAATAATGGCCAATGGGTGTATTAAATTTGAACTCAATGGCAAGTAATTTAAATAATACAATTGCATACAAAAAATGGGTAGAAACTATCTATCAACCTATATTATTTCTACGTATATTTTATAGTTTTATCATATTATATTTATATTGCAAGTTTTAATGAATATTTATGAATCATGACAAAATAACCAAAACCGTTATTCTTTATTTATATTATATCTATATTAGTCAAAATTTGGAGTTCAAATTGGCTATAAACAATTTTTATGTTTTTTGTTCCAAAAATCACGGGAGATTTACCCGCGCGAAGGGTGTCCAAAAGTAAAGTTAAACTCGAAAAGATTACACTTGCGGATCCGTCATATAACGTTCCTCAAAAAATTGACATATTAATTGGAGCACGTCATTTTTATGATATTGTGGGAGCTCAGCAGTATAAACCGGATGCAAATGGCCCTGTATATCGCGAGTCTAAATTTGGATATATTATTTCTGGTTTAACATCAAACGACACAAACATAAAAAACACGATTTCCTGTTATGCCTCAAACAGTCACGAAAATATTCATGAAAACAAATATGAGTCTTTAGAAAATGTAATACAACAGTTTTGGCGCATCGAGGATTACGGCCAAAACAAACCTTACACGATGGAAGAACAAACTTGTGAACAACATTTCAAGCAAAATGTTAGTCGCAGCGAGAGCGGTCGATTTGTTGTACATCTGCCGTTCCGCGGAAACGTCTCAAAATTAGGCAAGTCTTACGACATCGCAAAAAGAAGATTATTCGCAATAGAAAGGCGGTTTATAAAAAATCCCTCGCTGAAAGGGGATTACGTAAAGTTTATGGCCAAATATGAAAAATTAAACCATATGACACAGAATATGGATAACGAAGAAATCGAATTGCCCGGTCGTATGTGCTATCTAGCTCACCATTGCGTCCAAAATGAAAACAGTCTCACAACAAAATTACGCGTAGTATTTGATGCCTCAACAAAAACAGAAAGTGGGTTTAGTTTAAACGACGTACTGCAAAAGGGACCGTCAATACAAGAGGAATTAATTCACATATTAGCCAGATTTCGCACGCATAATTTTGTGGTAACTGCCGATATAAAAAAAATGTACCGACAGATACAGGTCTGTAAGAAACATCGTGATTATCAACGTATATTGTGGAGAGAGAACGTTAATGACCCTATAAAGATATATCGATTAAACACTGTCACCTATGGGACAGTACCTGCTTCTTATCTCGCGACGGCTTGTTTACAAAGATTATCGGAAATCGGACAAGGTCAATATCCAACAGTAGCACCATTAATTGCACGGGATTTTTATATGGACGATTTTATCAGCGGTGCAGCTACAAAGGAAGACGCAATCGAGATACGCAATGCACTTATAAAATTAATGTCTACAGCTAAATTAGAGCTAGGTAAATGGGCGTCTAACGATTCGATTTAATTTATGGATTTTATTAAAAACCATACTAATAGTGAAAGTAACTTCAAATTAATTTGTCAAGCCTTATAGGCTATAGCTATATAAATCGAACATTTTTAATATTAAAGTATTGAAAAAATATCAAAGTTTGAACATTTTATTTAGATTCATACTAGGGAGACTATCCAATATTAAAATAATATAGTTGGCTGAAGATATCCTCTTAAGCATTTAAATTTTAATAATTTTATCTTATATTCGGATGTCAGATATTTCAGATTTTAATTGGAAACTATCCTTTTTCAAATAATATTTGAATTGAAGATATTTTACCGTTTACCAAAGAATATATACGTATTGGCTATTATTTGTGTAATTTAAATGTATGTATTATTATACGTATATTAGGTACCGTACCTATAACGGTTATATCCAGTAATATCATATAGGTATATTATATTATGGTTTCTTTAATAGGCTCAATGGTCACGTTTAGTGAATTCTGGTGAAGATAAGTTTACGTGATGAATTACCTCATATTTTGTTTTGGATCCATGAGAAAACCACGGAGTAACAGAAACAATAAACTTTTCAACAATTACCAAAGTCGGAGGAGGTGTAAGCCACATGCCATAAGTTTGCGAAACCCATTTTGTGCAACTTGCAGTGGGCTATTGCAGCAGTACTATGCCCAATACAACACGATATGGGTAAATAGTGTCTGTAAAATATTCTTCGTTATATTTATAAGTGCTACCAGCAAGTATATAATATGATGATAACTGTACGCCAAAAATAGGGTTCGTGTATATTAGCACCTGCAGAAATATAAGCCTTTTTTCTTCCGCATTCAGAGGAGAGATTTGTAGGTATACCATTAACACTACATTTATTAAAAACACCTATATATTAATTATAAACTGCACACATAATAATACACGTGCAACAGGTCCACGGCGATGTACATAATATGATATTATAATAATATTATCGCCCCGTTATGATGTCGCATGTGACGTAAACGGTCATCCACATATTATAGAGCTGCGCAGGTTTCCATGCGCACTCGTGCGATATGTAATAATATATATAAATGTCAAAATAGGAAAATTATAGAAAAATTAAAATAAATAATAATAATAACGAAATAAAAAATAAAAACGAGTAGGCGCGGCCGCGATTTTATTAATAACACACTTGACCGCAGTTTCCCACCTCCTCCTCCTCCTCTTACACGGCTCCTCCTTCGACGGTTTTTTTTCCTCTCTCCGCTTAGGTATAGCAGCTCTGAACTATCTTCCGTAACGACGTTTTCGCCCCCTCGAGTTGTTTTTCCCCGCTCGGTGGCATATATATTATATAGGTATAACATAAGGATATATGTAGGTACTCGCATACAAACACGCACGCACATCGCGCCTTATAATTACGCGGTTACCCATCATTTGTGTGTGTATGCACATAATATTTATGTATATAGGTATATACCAACTCGTATACCGAGAGCGGTATATACCGAGTACGCGCGCTCGCGGTATCCATATAGTTCTCACGCCCAGGCGCCTACGTCGTAGTAAATAATAATATATACATATATAATATACTAATACAACAATAATAATAGTGATATACTCGTGTACGCCGAACACACGAAGTTCTCACACGCACCACCTACGCCGCCCTCGCCCCGCAACACGTCGTCGGTATTCGTCTCGCGTTTTTTACAATTTTTTTTTTTTTTATCCATTTTAGTTTTTTCTCAATCCATCATCATATTAATACTATTATACCCCGCTCGTCCTTGTGATATTTTGTACGCGCCCGTTATACGAATCTACCGTGGTCGTGCATAGCGTATATTATTATAATATATTATTGTATATTGTACAGTAACACTTCCACATAACGATCTTCCATTTTATCAAATATTTTTTAGAATCAATCATAATGAAAACCGAATTTATTTTTATTGTATTTAACAAGTTTCTCTATAGTACGGTTTTTTTTTTTGTTGCCCATGAGTTGAGTTGCATTCGTGATATTGGTTGTTATATAGTTGGTTAAACAAATTATAGAGTTATAAACTCAAATATTTTAGTCTACGTTTAGAATATTTAACTGGTCGTCTTAAGAGCCTATTAAGTCCATAATAAACGTTGTAATAATAGATGACACACAAAACGACGATTATGGTAGACGTTTATCAATGTTCTTAATCAAAAAATCTGAAACCATATAATTCTCGATATTATTTACATTTTTGAATTTGTTTTAAATCTATTGAGATAAATGACGAACAATTAACCTACTCTGTATATTGATTACAGTGGTAAAAAAACCGCCCTGCGTACGCCACTGGCTACAACTTACATAATCAATAATAAATAGGTACTACAACTGTGCGGGACGTTTCATGTAGGTCATTTTAGAGCGATTTTAATGACCAAAGATAATTTTAGAGCGTCATGTCTGCAGGTCGTAGTCCTTTTATTCAGCCATAGATAATAGTCAAATAGCCTAAATTACCACAATTATAAAAATCAGTTCATAATAATATACGTATATTCATTTATAGCCTTAAATTACCTGCCGTACGTTTATCGTTTATCATAACATTCGTAACTATTATTATTTATACTGTACAACTAGCAACATAATTTTCGAGTATAATTCGTTTGGCTAAACATTTCAATAACGGTTACAGCTTCTTTTGTTTATAAGTAGTCCGTGATGGAAGTGCAAAACGTAATAATTAGTATCAATAATGATAAGAAATGTTTAATACCTAGTATAATATTAAATAGAATTCTTAAAAAAGAAATAACTTTCATGACAATTTAAGTAATACGTGTCCAAAAGTTATTAATATTATTAGTAGATGAGACAGTTCCAAGTTATATTTTATCATTTATTTATCATAATTAATATTATGTTTTATCATTTGTGTACATATTTCCTCAAAGTAATATTGTACTTAAATATCCTATCGCAACAATAATGTTGAACGTTTTTCGTAAAGGGGAGGTTCGGGACGGTTGCACAGTGGTCGGCAATCTTATCGGTTCTGTTAAATACAGCATCGATAATACAACAACGTTCACCGATCTTTTTTTTTATTATAACCTTTCAGCCGGTGTTTTTTGTTTTTCGCCGAAAAGTACACGTAAATATTATAACAATGACCGGCGAATATAACTGCAGCCTATACCTATGAAGGTATAATAATAATATATTAGATAATAATTATGTTTTTATCGTTTAGCGTAATAATAATAATTGCAGGCTACTTGCCCAGCGTTCCCCGAAATTTATAATTAAAAAAATGAAAACGAAATGGAACTAAAAAAGAAGGCTCGTTGCCGCCGTGACCTTTATATTATTATTATACCAATGAACCTAATCATACAACAGTAATAAAGAGTTTGGTCAAAATCACGGCTTATTAATTATATATATAAGTTGGGAACGCACGCGTTTGTAAAATTGTAACGCCTCCCATTTTCTTTTTTTTTTCTGTAAGATTTATTGGTATTTTTATTATTATTGGAGTGGGTGCTATACGAAGTCTCAAAAACCAACATAATATTATTATGATATCCATTTGTAAGATGTTTCTCCTCGAACCGACATCGGGTATGCATCCAAATGTACAAGAATGCCGTTTGCTACATCATGAGCTGCATCGTTGAGCAGTATCTAGATAAAAACGGCTATAATATTACCTTCATCTCATCTTACAAAATTAGAAAACAAGTAGAAGGAGGATTAAGTAGAACGACCTTATTCTGAAGTCTTAAACTGGGCTTGACAATAATTTATTTAAATGGTGATCAATAGGTTAATAAAAAATAATTTGGAGAATGTTACTTTTTTTAGAAATTAGTAGTTGTTGACGACATACCTGTTGAAGGTTTATATATAACAAATTTTATTTTTTTTGCATTTTTCAGTGTAAGGACTTAAGATGGGATCGCAAAGACATCGATACCGTAAAATCACATAGCTACTAGACCGACTGAGCAGAATTAACGGAATTAAGCGGCGTGCTAGTGTGTGTCGGAATATCGGTCTCATGTTTTGCGTAATTTTTCAATTTGATTAGTCGTTTGTTTTATTTTCTCCACAGTTTTACCGATGTTTAGTGACTGCTGTCACCGTCACCATTGTTAGACATAATCATCCTCTCTATAACAAGACAATCACCCTCCTGACAACTTTTATCTATACCGTCTTCATCGTGTGAAAACTCCCGTGTGACACAGTCAGCGTTAATAACACCGTGGTTTTATCTTATTTTTGTATTGTGTATTAAGGTAATTAATTATTAACCTATGACCAGCACTATTTTCAGTGCAAAAATTTGTTTCAATATAGTTCATTTTCTTTTGAATAGTATATATTTATATATATATTTAAACAAAGGTCTACACGTTCATACAAAAAAAATTGGGAACATTTTACCTTTTCCTTACACAGGTATGGGCAAGAAACCTGTTGAAGGCTTTTTTACTACACATTTTACTTATTTTGCATTTTCTCATCGAAGAATTTCCGATCGAACTTCAAAACCAATACAGATAGTTTAAACCGTCATTGAGTAACACATTTGGCAAAAAAAAGTATCAAATATTTTAATTTTAGTGTGGAAACTGGTTGAAAAATGTTTAAAAACGACATTTCTGTTACATATTTTAGTAGGTAGAAGGAGCTTATTTTAACGCTTTCAACTGGTCGCAACTATATATTTAAATAGCCGTCTAAACGTTGATGCAAAAAAAAAATCGGAAAATGGTACTTTTTACTTACATAGGTGTGGGCGACATACCTGTTGAAGACTTTTTTACTACAAATTTAATTTGCTATATTTTTTGATTGAAGGATTTAAGATCCAACTTCAAAACTAATACAGATAGTTTAAACCGTCATTGAGGAACACTTTTGCTAGAAAAAACTTTCAAATAATTTAATTATAGTAGGACAACGGGTTAAAAACTGTTTTAAAACGATGTTTCTGTTACTTA